AGACATTATTTTAATTATCGTAAGGATTACTCTTAAGCCCTTAGAATCTATTTGTAGGTATGTGTAAGAGGTTTTGACTATCCTATAATTTATAAGACGTTTGGTTACACGAGGAGTATCATCGGTGCCCATCACGCCACCCAGTACGTTCTTAAACTGAATTTCGGCGTGGTGGTCGCAATTAGGCGCGATAAATGCCCCCGACATACGATACCGGCTTTTCATTCGATTAATCGGTCGAAACGAATACGGGATCCGATTTTAACAGGTCGTACTTTTTAGTTTTTTATGCAGCACTTCGTGCGATATTTTGATATTTATCGTAGTTTGTCTTTGATGATCTTCAAATTTTAATCTGGATGTTTTCACTTTTGTTTGCGGTATTTTTTTATCAAATGGTAAGTACTCTTCACATGTAGTGACTACTACAGCTATGTAGTGATGAAGTTATTCTTAGTTCAACGTTCTTTCTAATTTCCTGGCGAACTTCTATGAAATCTAAGTCTAATTGGTGTTATTGAAACCCCTATGTTTTTTTAACACGTTCGACTCTTTAATTAGTTAACAGCGAGTACCACAAGTGTTTTCTGTATTGACTCAGCCCGCATAAGTAAGAAGTCAGCCACATATCAATATTATTTTGACATCGAATGCTTTTTTGATCATTACTCAATTACCTTGTTAAATTTTATGTCTTACTCTCAATATTCGAACATAACGAGGGTCATACGCGTGACATTAATATTAGTTGATTGTGGTTTGGAACATGAATTCAACTAGGTTTATTTTCTAGCGTTTGATTGTTTTACGACATAGAATTTACGACACGTCACGTGCGCGACACATGTTCCCATAATATCAGAATATAATTAGTATAATTTGAACAATTCTAAGACAGGTCACAAATTTGAATGAGTCAACTCCACCCTTTTTAAATCTACCGAAGCAGTCGACTGGGTGTCAAAAGAGAACAAGTCCGTAACGATCCATAAAACAATACAAAAATCTAAACCATTACAAGGCGACAAAACTGTAATATCAATAGAACACAATGGGAACAATAGTTGCTCTCTGTCAATTATTACATCATTACCATTGGAATAAACGACGTAACGGATCAGATGATTGTCAAAAACAACATGATGACAACGCAATGCGGCCACGACTGCATATCGCGACGTGTACAAACAAAAACAGTTCTTATTAACATTTAAATAAAATTTCTAATTCTTTTAAAAAATCAGACGATGATCTTGCATATTTTAAACTGTCGAAACAGTTACCATATAAATGATTTATAGACTGCGGCGCCGTCTTAATTTTTGTCACTTAACAATGTACAATGAATCTGAATAATTAAGTGTCTCATGATGCTTAATAAGCTTATTTTTAAATTGTAATTAGGCGATTATGAAATTAGAAAGATGGTGAAGATGAGCTTGTTTGGCTTGTTCTAGTACTAGTTGAAGTTATGCGACGTGCATATGTGATGTGCAACCGGGCATGATTATCCATACAAGATTATGTGGTCCCGTGTGCAAAATGCAGTAGCATATGACTTTCAAGCAGTCGCAAAACTACCGTGTATCGCGTAGAGAAAGTCACAATAGTTATTTGGTGTTTGGGCCGTGATAAGCAGCTACAAGCTCTTTCTTGTTCCCTCGTAAATTGTATTTGGTATCGGTACAGATTTGTTCCCTGAACATTTCATTGAAATTTAATACTCGAACTTTACGTGACTCACCCAAAACGTTTCAATTTTGCGAAATGTCTACATGCTTTTGTGTCTCTATTCAGTATTGTGTTGACGTTGTTCAATTTGTATCTTTTGTGTTAAGCTTCCTTTATTGACTTGAACTATGTAAGTTCTAATACCCATTGAGTCTACATCATTACCTAACATATTCTGAGCATTATCTCGAATACGCTGCAGCGCTATTTGGATTCTTATTATTCAATATTAAGGTCGCATTTTTGTTGGGCGTTCATTGGAATATTGTGTTTGCGATTTATTTGATCCTCGCATTTGTCATATATGATCGAAGCGTGCGAAGGTGTTATTCGTTTAGTCGACACGCGATCGTTGAGATAAGTCCAGAGCTTGCCACTTGTAATTTGATGGGAGGTCCTCGCGCTTTAACCTTTTATTTTTTGTTTAACACTTGTACTGTTTATGCTGTGGTCTGTTTTTTATTATAAATTGATTTGAGCGATTTAAAATCTGGTTTGCGAACACTCGAGCATTGGAAGTATGTTAGTACGAGTATTTATTTAAGATTTTGTAAGTTTTTGGGGAACCGTAACTGCATTAATTAATAAATCAAGTAGCTTGGGAACTGTGGCAGCAGATGCTGAGAGAATGGCCATATTTTATATCAATTTAGTTATATAAAGTGATAAAGATCTTGCATGTTTTATTTTAAGTTTATGTTTATCGTCAAATGAATACATCTCAATACCGTCACATCTCTGCAGGTGGTAATCCTCCCCCTCCGTGTTTGCAAATCTACGTGGACATGTTGTACGTCGTAAAAATGAAATTCTTACATTTATTGCGTTGTAGGACACGTGTAAGTAATGTCTTGTCGTGTCGTATGGTTTTTGTCAGCGGGCAATCGGCGATTTATTGAATCGCATTGTTGATTATTTTATTAACGACTTCTTTCGATTGCGTGAACGTTATTCGTAATCACAGCTTGAATCACGGTACTACATGTTTCGATGTTAAGAGGCTTGAATAAGCAATCTTCATCACAATACAGATTTTTTTACCTATGACGCAAAAGTACGCAAAAGTTTACGTACCTATGACGCAAAAGTTTAGTAGATACTAGATATTATAACAAGTGTCTTGTACTTGTAAGACTATATAAAATATCAATCAATTCGATAATTTATTCAGTAATTAACAAACATTCTAGGTCAAAAATGTACGGTCTTTTTTACAGGGATATCCAGAACATTGAGGCAGTGTCCAAATATAATTTTTGGACCACACAGCAATATTATAACGATTCGGCAGTTACCAAAAATAAAATATCATATAAACGTTTATAAATATTTTATTTTGTTGACGTTAATCGAAGGTAGAGCCAATAATGTAACTGCGTATCGATGCGTGCAAAACCAACTTGTGATTGAGAGTTACGATTGTCATTAATATTGTAATGAAATCGATTTATGATCGAGTATCATCTCATCGATTTTATTGCCCGGTCTGCGGTATTGCATTTAATACTAAATACGTTTGAAGGTAATCTTATTATAGCACACTAATTCGCAATCTATGTTTGCGACGCGTAACGATTTTCTGTTCGCTCGTTAGCGCTTTGTTTTATTGATATTTGCTTCAGTGTTTATACTGTTGGGATTGGTTTTAGCTAGGTTATACTGCATCTTTATTTGACTTAACTAAAGAGGGTGTATGGAAAAATATCGCCATCTTTTTCCGTCACCCCTAAAAAGCTCTCATTATTGCTTCGCCACAGGGCAGTAAAATCAAATTGCGTTGTTTTTTGAGTGCAAGTATTGAGTCAAGGTTTAATTTTGTGTGCCACCGCATTTTTTACATTGATATTCGCGGTTTCAATAAAATCCTTTGTCCAGACTGCGTTTTATTTGTTCCGGTGCTTTAATGTTAATTGAAAATCGTGGTAAATGCACCCGATGAGGTCGAGATTGTTATTGTCGAACCTCCATTTATGTTTGACCGACAAATATTCGTCTTTGGTATTTTCTCATGCATTTATTATTAAACTTCTATAAATCCTACTAATATTGTAAACGGTAAAAAGAAGACGGTAAAATTTGTAAATATGGATGGTTAGTGGCTTGTTACTCTTGCGCTCAAAACTGTTCAATGGATTTTGATAATAATTGGCACTGAAATGAAGTCTGGAATAACACGCTGGCTACATTTCATCCAGAAAACCTTAGTGACGCCGCTGCCAAAAACAAGTCCTTCAAGTTTACTTTTATCTTTAATTTAATTGACATATACTTATACTACCTATATGTTATGTTAATCATAGTAGCCTACCGAAATATGATGAGTTCGACTCACACGTGGTCTGCACATATTCGCAATTAATTCCTCGTATTTACATTTATATGAAAGTAATTGTCAGATTGTTAAGCAATGAATTAATTGCTTCTCGTTATTTGCTTTGCATTGAAGAAGATATCGGCAAAATATTTCGGCGACTTTCACATGTCATCGATTAATTTTAACCGATCACATAAAAGTTTTTAATCAAGGAACAATATTTAATATTTATGCGTGTTTCTCCGTATCGTAACTACGTGGATTTATTTAAATTGGTGTCCGTTAATTTATAAAGGCCACCGGCGAATCCAAATTGAAAATTAACCCCATTTAGACACACCTCCTGGCGCTCACTTTTTTACAATCTTTTTACATCGTGTCAACACCGTCGATAAATTATTACCACTCTAACAAGCTATTATTATCGACCCTGACATTTTATTTAACTTAATTTTGGGCAAAATTGAAAATTTTCACCCAAAATTTTTGGCCTGCGGTGCAACAGGAATGAGTTTTAAGATTTATGTCCAACGATTTTAGTGTTATTTAAAATTCTAATTCATTGTTTAAACTGTCGATATAAAATCTTATCGATTTCTGGGAATGGTTAAATGTTTGGTTATCTGGTTCAATATAAGTTAAACGCTGACGTTTTCATATGATTAGCATATTAATTTTGGATTTTAACCTGTGTCGTATGTCGAAAAGTCTCCAAAGTGGTTCGTGTCAGGTGGCCCTCATTGGGCATAGTTCATTGACACCGGTCAGGTAGGGCCAGTAAATGATTGATCTGCGCCCTTATCACACACCGTCGCCTACGTGCGGCTTTCTCAAAGACACATTGTCTACGACCATAGAAGCGTGAGCTAATACCAATACAACCTTACCCAAAACTCAATCAAACACATCATTAACTTAATTTAGTCTCTATAAATATTTCTTTTATTTGTTACAGAAGGTCCAAACGTGGAACAAGGAGATTAAAGAAATGTAAGTCCTTTTTTTATGAGTTTTTGACTTATTCAAATGTCCCGTAAAGATAATTTATTTATTAGTGAAAGTGTGGACAGCACGAATGAAATAAATATAGGTAATTAGCGTCAGTACCAGAGACGGGATCAATTTCACGGATATCATATTACTTTTTCAATTCACATTTGAATGCGATCCTTAATGATATGTAAATACGACTGAGTATCACATTCCTGCAGTGCGTAGCGCCATCTGAATGTAAGTGGACATTTTGTAAATTGAAAAACCGTCAGTTTACAGTAAGAGGCCACTACAAGGACCGCCATCGAAATGATGATGAAATAATTAAATTATCAATAAGAATTAATTAATTAGTAAAAGCAGGAATAAATTTGTCTGTATACGAGTAATTTTAAAAATAATTTGTCGTTAAGGCATTCTAGACAACATATAAAGCTCTTACATAAGCAAGGCTTTGCTGAAAAGGTGTTATTATATTCGTTCATTTTCATGATTGATTTCAGCTGAAGGTTGATAATTCAGAGTGTTTTATTGTTTAAAGAAAAACTTGTTAAAATCCCATAATTATGTAGGCCGGCGCCGCAACTAATTTAGAAAGTTATTTTTGTATTTAAACTGTTGCGTCGAACGTTTTTCTTCAAGTTATTTATTTAACGCCGACGGGTACACAGTTTTCTGTAATTGGACAACATTTGGGTTCACTCCTACGTATCAATACACCATAATTTCATGTCGCACTCATGCATCACTATATACTTGTAAAGATAAATACATTTTTATTTGCAGATGGGACATTCCAGCTCTTCTCGAGAAAATTCCTAAGTTGGGAGCAGTCATAGATCTGACTAACACAGCTCGATATTACGATCCCTCGGTAAGTAATGATTACTAAAAAGATGACTCTATACAAAAGTCGAAGGCTCTTCTGTAAAAAGAAAAGAAATACAGATTTTCGCACATACCGCATACCAAACCTAACATCTTAGTTCAATAAACATTCCTCGGTGGGTCGTTAATAATAATGAAAGGTAACAAGCACTCTGTACTAACAAGTAAGACAACGTGTAGTGCTTGTAACGACTCTTACTTGGTCGGATAGCGCCTGTAGGAATCTCGGCCCGCCCGCCATGTGTTACAATACCGGGAAGCTATAAAATTATGTTCAGTTTTACGATTGAAAGTCACATTTTCCAGTACGATGCTTTGTTCGTACTTACGTCTGATTGCCTTGCATTCATCTTCTAGCATAATCCGATCGTAAAACGTGGTTTCCATGGAGCAGTTGACTTAAGCTTGTTATGCTCTAAGTCAGCACATAGCACACACCAGTCTAGGGCGTTACCAGGTCTTTATATTTTCTAATTTATAGTTACACTGTAGCTTACATACTGTAGGTGTTAATTGAGCGATGATATGTTTGCCGAGGTTTGCACGAACAATATATTCAGTTAGCTTCAAAACAAAGACCTACAATAGGCCTGCTAGTTGGTTACCACACAAAACTTAATTGAAGGTCTCTCAGCTGTCATTCAGTTCTCTGACTGCGTCTGTTTACCTTACGATCAATTTTAATTTTGCCTTGTTTTAAAATGATGGATATTGAAGTCTATAATTCGGACCCTAGGTGACTTTTAATAGGGTACAAAATAGCATCTCATCTACGCTAACAATGCATTATATTAACTAAATGAGTAATACGCTACGAACATCATAGAGACTAGCCTGGAGCTCGGGACGGTAAATTCTATGAAGAATGTCCATTGGATAGCTGTGAAACAGCACAGCTAGTTGTGACACACAACTGTGACTTGTTGGCCCATTATTCACACTTCAACACTCGTAATAAATGTTAGGGTTCTCCTGATACATTCGTAGCCATTGTGATGTCCCATGGTGCTTTGCTAATGTGTATGACGAGTGGGCCCCGTTATTCGTCTGTCGGGTGTGAAATTTTGCTGCCTTCGTGAAGATGTGAAGTGCTTGAGCGAAGTTCGGTGCCGAAGTCAAAGGGCAGACGGCATTTTAATTTTGTTTTTATTGGTTGTTTTATGTTAAATTATCATTATAAATGTGTAGAGTATTCGTGAGAATATGAATTGTAATTATGTAATTCAAGCGATTAGGCAAATGTTTGTATGTATGTTTGTTATACTTATGTAGTGTCAATCATTTCGATTTTTTAAAAAGTTTACATTGTTGATAGAATTTTGGCGCGTAAACAAGATTTAAGCATTGATGAAGTATAAATTATTACCTAGCTTTCGGGGCTTTGATCTGATGCTATAATTATATCAAGTTAAAGTGTCGATGGCTTGCCGTAAACTTAAGCCTACAAATCATGTAGTTGATTGAAAGAGGCAGGTTGGTAAACGTCCCGTCGCTTTAGGGCATAAGACTACAACACTTTGATACTCACGGGCGGGACGGACACGATACAAGACATATCGAAGTAGACAAAACCTTGGACTTCTCAGATTGTAAGCAAATATGAACATTAAAAAATTTGAGGTTCTAAGAAAAAACATTTTTTAAAAGTACAATATAAACAAATAGAAATACATTTTTTGGTTAAGTTAGTTATTAAAAAGTAAGTATAATAAAAGAAACAGCATATGTTCCGTGGTTACTTAATGTTAGGAGGCGAATTGTACTAATATATTCGCTTTTTGATCGATAGTCGTAGAAGTAGCTATTATCTACTTTCATAAAAATCAAATAGGAAGTTGGCTGTAATAAATGTATTTTAATAAAAAACCGTTTTTATTAAAATACATTAATTCGGATTGAAACTGAAATTAAAGAGGGAAATCATTCCTGGCAATTTGAAGATTTTTTTAAACTTCGAAATGCTTATTGTGCAAGTAATTAATCCTATTACACTGGCGAAAACTATATGACCACACATAAAACAATTGATCTCAATACAAGACTTCTGCAATTGTCATCAAATGATACATGATAAATTCCTCACTATGTCAACGAACTCATCATTTCAATACGATTATATGATGTTCTTATTAAAACAACTTATTCGCTCTATGTATTATCGATTTATTAAGAAGTTTTAAATAAGCTATTAATTAAGCCGAAGTAAAGTTGACTGGCTTATATTTCGACACCTCTCTAATCTGATTGGTAATTGTCATCAGTTGACGTCTAGTGACTCGTCGCTCACTTCATTTTTATTTTGGCATGGATTAGTGACTTCGTGGAGAGATCACACTTGTTTTGTTCTGCTAAGAATTTTTCTTTTTTTTCACACTTATGTTTTCTAGGTCGAGTAGTCTAAAATAGTAATGTTTGCTTTAGTTATAATGTAACTAGATGTGGATCGATATATATTAGTTATAACGATTCTTATACCTAACCATTTATTTGTCTTGCTCTGTCTATGCTAATATTATAAAGAGGTAAAATTTGTAAGTTTGTATGTTTGTAGGTTTGTATGTAGGGGTTAATCTTTGTAACCGCTGGTTGGATTGCCAAAATTCTTTCACTGATAGATAGCTACAAGGTTCCTGAGTGCTATAGGGTAAAACATAACGCTACGATCAAATGCGGTTTCACCCGCTGCTCGAGCTGAGCAGCGGGTGAAACCGCGCGAGAGTAGTATATGTTATGAATAGGCTCCTGTAAAACAACCTATGCAATGGTAGCCCTTCATTTATTATCTCCTCCGTGTGTTGTACAAGATCGACTGTTCCATGCTCTACTTACATTCTATAATCTCATTATCAAACGCGTATCTTTAATAACACGATCATTTGGAACCGGCTTATAAACTAATGTGTACTTACTTAACATTTCATTCCTATACCTGTTACTCGAGGTTTGGCGGTCCGTTTGTTTTAAGTTGAACTTAAGTTATTTGAATTTATTGAAATTTACAAAAATATTTTTTAAAATGGTTATTAATAATAACAGTAAATATATACGGCAAACGCTCTTGGTTATATGTTGCTTGGACAGCAAACGCTGATGCTCGATGTAATAATTGGTTTCTTTGTTATAGGAATTACAAGCGGCGGGTATACTACACAAGAAAATTTTAATGCCAGGCCGCATAATACCTCCCGAGGGCAAAGTGACAGAGTAAGTCCATCTTCCCCGGCGCTGTTTACGTGCGATTAATCGCGCTCTCGTGTAAGACGTCTTCACGACCGACGCCGAGCCTTTTTAGCTCGCCCAAGTAGAAGATGTATCTCACACATAGACATACGTTCTCCAGACGTAATCTTTATCACATAAACCTTTGAAAGTCAGCCATTGAGAGGTGACGTATTATTTGTTGTGTTAATATCGAACCGCCACAATATTTCACGCTGAAATATTGTAGAGATTGCGATGCACCGAGTATCAACATTCTTTAAAGGCACTGAAACTGTGGCTCGTTTAAAATGATACCAGCTATAAAACATAAAAAAGGCCACAGAACAGTAAAGACTCGTGATTGATATTGACTTAAATCAGCGACATTTAGCCTAAGGATGATACGTCTTAACAAGTTTACACTCCCCTTATACGGCGGTACATAAATCAGAAACGGAACACCTATCTATCAAACCGCGAAGTTTTCGTTTTGCATTCGCGGCAGATTTTAATTTGAAGCGTCGAATTGGCGCCATTCGTAGGCCGAATATGGGTAATGTTATAAATCTACGCGCATGCGTAGGCGGTGCGGCGCGCGCGCCTTAGGGCCGCCGCGCCGCCGAGCCGACCGGTGCCCGTAGAGGTACCTATTCTCGTATTCAATTGAACTTGGTCACATCTAGCGCTTGTGTCGATGGCGTCCGCCTCCCACGCGGGATCCGATGCCTTTCGGAATTTGAAAGGCATTTGTCGCAGCAACGATGCGTGCCGGCTCACGTGTAGCAGTTGTCCCCTGCAACTAAAACACACTGCGTTTTATTATGTCGTAAACTTTGACACTATCGAAGAAGTCATATTACATATTTTTGTTAATTGATATGTCTATTAAAAATAAGCAACTTAATTTAATCCGACACTTTCAAATTGGAGAAATGTTTTACCATGAATTTTCTGAAAATTTTAAAGAATTTCTTAGCTCTTAAAACTCAGGCAAGCAATCAGAGGTGCTAAATGAACTTGAAATAAATATTGACATTGATATTTGTACAGATTATCTAGAAGATATATGGCTCTATCGCACTACATATCACTTTGTAAAATGATTTGCTCAGCATTAAATCTTAGATTATCTCGATCATTTGTCTGGTCTTTTGTTCGTCGCTGCGGCCCTTCATCGACCGTCATAGACATAAATAACCATCGGCATTTCTGAGATAGTTCGCTGTTGTTATCATGGCGCGGACCTCGCATCTGTTTGTCAGTTAACATTAGACAAATGCGCCACCCGTACAGCTACTTCGAATTTAACTAAAAGCCACGTCTACTTAATGACAGGTCTATTTATTTTGAGAATAGGGTCCTTTTCACTTATATTTAACGTACGAATTGAGAGAAATGTTTCCTTCTATTATAAATTTGTTAGCGTGTCATTTTTAAGACAGAATAATTGTCTAAAATGAATTTAAATTTGATATTGTGTATAAAATGAATACCCTAAGTAACCTGAACGTTATAGGAAAACACGTCGCGAACGTGCGAAAAATTTTCGACGTAAATTTCATCACAGTGCAATTTAGTCTAGACAGGTAACGTCGTCGGGACGAACAAGAAAACTAATAAAATGGTACTATTATTTTATTATAATAATAAATCGAGGATAAATATATTGTCATGAGACCTTCATTTATACGACCTTTTACTGAACGTAGATGATCAGAGCCGCGGTCGTAATGATGCTCGCGTGCTCACTCGGTTCATTTATCACGGCTGTATTTTTACTTGTTTTCCATGTCGACTGTCGACAATCATGTCGTCATTACAAACCCGTTCGTGTACATATCACCCCGTCTATAAATTGTGAACACCGCCGGTGGTACCGATTGTCCGTTTAATAGATTTTTACTGCTCCGCTTTTAAGGGTTTTATTGTTTTGACGATTTATTCGCTGTTACCGATTCCTCTAAAGCAACGCCCATTACAGGCCTATTTTCCGGGAAGTCGGTGATAAAGTTAATGTTTCACTCGACAAAACAATCGTATCGATAAACAATCGTGTCGTATTGTCATTTACGTATTTTACTATCTCAAAAAATGCATTCGATGAAATACGAGATATGATACACCCACGGCTAAAGTCATCGCTTGGTCCAATATTGGTACATCAGATTCTATGTCACCCATACTTGTTAAATCCGCTTCTAAGCTTTTTTCGCCTTTGTTTTTTATTTGTGATAATATTAGCGCATGATTGAGACTTATAACGAGACAATTTAACAAAGTATTAAGTCATTTTTTTATTTTTAGTCGGTTCAATCATGGTCGGGAAAACCGAAAGAATGTATGTACTTTGAACCTGGCGTCTACTAGACGGCCAAGTGCTGTGACATCAATCTTAGATAGTTTGCATACTTAGTAATCAAATATTATTCGACACGTGTGCAAAAATAACTTGACGTAATTACAGAACAAGCTTTTAGTGTTTCTAGTAATCTGGTATTGATTTGAACTTTTTCTTCAGGTAAATAGTTTTCTATAATGATACTTACCTCGATAAAGTATTTGAACGTACGTTTGTAACGAGCTGGTGAACTCGTTTATCGCACTAAAGGTGTTAAAAGTAAATTCTCACGTTGTTGACTGTTTGTCCAGTAAGAGTCTAGTGTAAATCAGAGTAAGATAGGAGACTTCCGAGCGTGATAACAAACACATAAATACAGAGACCGCCAGCCATTGTCCAAATTTACTGTCACCAAACCATTCTACTAACACCGAACGGTTATTTTTCTCTAACCGTCCCACGATAATATGGTGTTGAACGTTGAATTGCTAGATTCTTGATTATTTATAATAGCTTTAATTATATTGAGCTGTTTCAACAACAAGTTTTTTTCGTGTTAACCCTAGTTACAATATGTTTTCAGCGCAGACATACATAAGTCAAACAACACATCGAAATCATAATCACGTGTTTGTTTTAGATTATAGTTATTTTTTCAATTGGTGGGATTTATTCTAAATTTAAAAATTTGTTTCTTAAGACGTATTCATTTAGACTATACTTATTGTACTGTTGGCACTTTTGTGTCAATCAACAATATTCTAGTAGGTTCTCCCACCGAACAATATTTTCTCCCTATATCAATATTAACTTTCATATTTATTACGCTATTCATAACTTGCTCAACTATAATAACATGAATTCAATACAATGATGAAACGAATTGCCGATTTTCAATAATAATACTAATAACTCGTCTATTACAAGTTGGTTGAGCGTAATAGCTGCTCTAAATATCGACAATGTTATAATTTTTTTTATTACATTGTATGTATAATCATTTGGACCACACAGGTTGGATATAATTGAGACATTGTATATATCATTATATAGTTGTCCTATTATTATACCTAGTTTTATTTACTAGTTACGAAAGTTCTTGGTTGCATCGTTCCCAGAGTTAATTAAACGCTTACGAAACCCAGTACATGATTTGATTAGAACGTGCCCTTGTTTTAATGCAAGTAATTATTTTCTGGTCTCGCCGAGTATTAATGACAAGTTTGATGTATTTGAGCGACATTTTGTAGATTAAAATATTCATTATACGACGCTGAACAAATGTATAGACGTGAATTGTCGTGTTATAGATTATTTATGTAATTAATTCGATAACAGACACTAAAATATTTATTAAATCATCACCTTTTTTGAGTCTCACAATAGTATCAATGTGATTTCATATTTTTTAGTTCTTCGTAGTAGAAGCCATCTTTTACACTAAGTATATTCGAGGGACGTCAGTTATGGAAACTGCTGAAATGATTATAAAATTGCAATTGTATATAAACGTGAGACTGGTTATTACAATAAGACCTTTTAACTATTAACATATGCGAATTTGATTAAGTCCATACACTTTTAATCTTTTGCATCATTTCAAATCCCGTTTGGAAACGATTGTAACTTTGATTAACATAACAATAACAAAACATCATCATTATTTTAACCGATTACCGATTCTAATAAAAATTCCGTATAATAAACAAATGACAATATGGAATGATTCACTCAATTTATCTCGTTTATAGCGAAAAAAATATCATCACAATCTAAAACATATCAAAAGATCTCATCATTAAGAATGAAATTTGAATGATAAAGATATGAGTGTACCTATGTAATTATTGCACTAATTATACAGTCAAACTTCGCAGGAATTTTGATGATTATGGCGGTATTCTGTGGTAGTAATTAATTCTTAGTCATGAATATAATATGATCAATGTATTGAGTAAAACGTAGGTACATATTACGGTAGTTTTACATGTGTCATTGGCGCCATTCCTAATGATCCCGCTAATTAATTTGCACATCCTACATCTTTAATTGGTGACGAATCGCATTGTTGCGGTTAAATAACTATTATATCGTATTACCATATAAGGATGGACCGGATTCGCGTTCTTTATTTGGTTTATTGTTTTATTTTTTATTTTTTTGACTTGTTATTGGTCGTATAAAGTATTTGTTTGGTTTCTTCTGTTGTAAATCCTCCTTTGTGTAAAGCTAGCACTTCTGTTTTTGGTGTTTATTTTGTGTTTTTTGTTGCATGTGTAAATTTTAATTCTTGACACCAATTTTTTTTTGTCATGAATTTAAGAAATACGTGGTTAGGGATCATAATAATTATCAACTGTACCTATTAATTTATTCTAGTGAGATTATTTTCTTTTTCTATTTCTTTGGTTGACAATTAGTTTATATTGTTTTTATAATTGAACCGACTTATTAACATAACTGTTACTTTGTATTGGTGTTTTTTTTAATAACATAACTAATCGTTTTTTGGAGTTCTTTACACTTTCGAATGACCGAATACCTTCACCTGAGCTAATTCAACTTAACAGAGACATTTTTATCGTTTTTGTCATGTTTATCGTTAAATATTATTTGTATTGTATATTGTATTAGAAGGACATGGCACAATGTTTCCTTTTCTTGC